GGTGTTAAATGCAGGTATTTGTACAACAGCTCATATTGAGATTGGAGGCTTTCCGCCTACAAATTCTGTCCAATAAATTTACCCAATTAATTCGGACAGAGAGTGAGCAGTTATGGTGAATCTGAGCGTTTGGTTGTGTATTTCATTAATTCAGATCAGATCCAGAGCTGAGCCCGGTTGTCTGGAGGCAGGTTAAAATCCAAACGCATTCATATTAATTCAGAAAATAATATTGCAATATCTGGACATTAATGAACAGTGCGATTTTTTTTTTTTGTTTGTTCCAAATACCCTTCAAAGGTGCCACAATTTATTATATTCCTGACCAGGGGGCATTTAATATGTAGTGAATAACGTGGACTATGTGCTTTCAGTATTTTGGTCAATGTTGGTTTCTTTTTTATCCAAAATATAAAATTTTGTCTGAATTGCAGCTAGCTCATGCTGGTGAATAACTCTTTATGGCATTATACTTGTGACTTGAGATGAGAAGTCAATGTAGGCCAATATACCTAAATTGGAATGAATCCCCTGCACAGTAGCTTAGCCATTTAAATCTAATGTAAACTGCCCATGAATTGAATGGACCATCAATACACCTAGTTAACACATTTAACTGCAGTCACATAACATGACAAAGGCTCTCTGCTACCAATTAACCTTTATTAAGTCATGGACACCTCCTTGATCTGCACCCCAGTGCTTGGCTTTCACTGAGATTCCAGTCTGATGCTAAATCCACGATGTCTATTAGGAATTTGGAGTGCTCATTGCTTAAAGAGACAGAATGAAAAGAAATCTGATTAATTGATATCATTTTAGACATGATACACAAAGGGTCATTGCATTTTTTTGCCCCCCATCCCCTCCCTCCCTCTCTTCCCTTAGCTTTGTAACAAGTATAATGTTCTTGGAACATGTTAACTGCACTGACTATGCTACCAGGATGTGTCTTTGTGAAACCCAATAAAAATTTAATTAAAAAACAAACAAAAAAAATCAGATTAAATATTCTCATGAGTGGAAAGTTCTCAAGTTGTATCCCCTTGTTTTAGACGGTGTATTCCCTGGTTTAGAAGGTGTGTCCCTGTTTGTGTGTGTGTGTCCCTGTTTGTGTGTGTGTGTCCATGTGTGAGGTGCCAGAGTTAGCTCAGTGCCATCAGTAGGTTACAGCGAGATTTGTTAAAGGAGACACATCATCATTGGATAAAATCCACAGAAACAGGGACTGGATATACAACTGCTGCCAGTGGGGGGGCTTGTAATTACATGGAACACAATAAAAGAAACGTTCTATGCAAATTAAAGAGAGTACAGAGGGGCATTTAAATAAACAATGAGCAAAGCTTAAAGGACAGCCATGAATACCCAAATTGATTGGTCTGAGGTGTCTTTCAGATCATGCATTGGGTATTTTAACATTGCTATAGACACTTAGACTTGCACAAATCTGGATCTCCCTAATTTATTGATTCCTTTCTTTCTTTAGGAGTGATTAACAAGGGGCGGACTGGAAAACAAAGGGTTAAAAGTCATCTTATCATAATATCGTGTTAAGGCTCAGCTAATGACATTTAGTCAATGAGTGTAATTGGTGGCATTTAGAGGGTTACATTGAGATTGGCATCTAGGAAAGGGCAATGGGCGACTTGGTCTCTTCATGGCAGGTTCTCAAAGGGTTAAAATGTTGCCTATTATTTATTCACTTGTATTTTTTTATGACTTTATTTTTGAAGTTTTGTTATTAACAGGTAAACAATGTGTTTATTTTCGGTGGGTTTATTTTATTCCAAATTATTTGTGGAAAATACAAAATAACTGTCATTTTTGCTGCCACTGAAGGTTAACGAAAGAAAAATGATTATTAAAATACAAATAAAAAACGTATTCTGATTCTCGCATTCCCAAACAGCTTTGCAAATAGATGGATGGTCCTAGTGAGAGAGGGCATCCAAGGGGTTAAATGTGTGACCCAAAAATCATTCAGAAACGGAATTTGCCGAATGATTGTAACAATGGTTATTATTTTAAATTGATAACAGTGACAATCTAAACCTATTTTTATTCATGAGTTAATCAGTCTTGTTATACCTGGGTTAATCAGGAATAAATTAAATAAAACATTGTAATCAGAATGAATTAATCCAATTACATTTCAGTGAAGGGGTTAAGGTACATCCATTATAAATGTAACTACATTGACCGTAATGATTAATCAAAATTAGCAATAAATCCATTGTGATTTAATTGAACATGATAGCCAGGGTAAGTGATTAAATCGATTTTCTGTAACTTTCAGTGAAGGAGTTAATCTACAGAGAATAACAGTAACAAAGGGTTAACCATGAACAGTACAAAATACAAATATAGACTCAAATCCCAAACTTTCTAAACATCTCTCAGCCTCTCCTATGTACTATGCACTTAACCCCTTCATTGCCGGAAAGCTAGGAGTTCGTTATTACAGGGCTGGGCTCATTCAGTTAACTGTTTCAGTGCTGAATGCAGAGTAGTTCATTGCTGTGATATTTGCCATAGATATATATACAATATGTATATTGTACACCATGACGCTGAGAGGGTTAAATTAATTGCTCTTCCCATTTGCTGATCCTATTATTTACGTATGTATTTATTTATTTATAAAATATTTTCCCAGGATGGATACATTGAGATTTCATTGTGACAGCTCAGGGTTGGATCCTGGGCCATTTCGCCTGCAACTCCCATGATGCCTTGCCAGCCTTGGTGGGCTTCCCACCCTGAACCTACAGCTGTCAGTCTGCAGGGTGTATAATGAGCCACGTGGGGATAGCCCACCAGTCTCCATGGTGATAGCGCCACTTCTCGAATTTTGCCCCCAAACAATTCTTTATAAATAGTGGGGGGGAGGGTGCTCAGTACAAGAAGGGAGCGTTCCACTGTTACCATGGTGATTGCAACACTTTTAGAACGTTGCCCCAGGATTGTCCTTTATACAATATCTCCAATATATCGATCAGTCTGCTGGGGGGGATTATTATAAATTTATTATTAACGACAGAAGTAATTAATTATTCCAAGTTCAACCCTTTATTGGCACTCGAGCTGAAACATTTCAGTTCTGTTTCAATACAGTGAATTTAATAAAGTGATATTTTTAACACAGTGAGTTTTATAAAGTGATATTTCTTTACATTCCGATTCCTGTCCCCCTGTGGGAGAGGTGATTGGGTTTGGGCTGTAATTTAAAGAATGTGGCAGAATGCAGAGAGAGAGACACACACACACACATTGTGTGGAATATTTTCTTTAATTTGCAGATAATAAAAGCCAAGATATGAGCCAGAACTTCTGAGAAGCAGAGTGTTAGGGAGCAGGAGGATAAGACTTATCTCCCCTCCACAAACTGAACGGTTTCAATGATCAGGCAGTCTGTCAATCAGCTGACAAGGAGCCAAATAAAGTCCATCCAGAGTTTGGCCAAGTCTAGTCCTTAGTTTGGGAGAAGATATGACAAACCAACAGAGAGCAGTCAGTTTAGCTCAGTTTATACAGCTTGCTGTCCCATTCGGCAAAAATGGGAATTAATGAATGATTCTCATTGATCATAATGTGCAGCTTTTATTAAATCACTCACTCACTGCATTTTATTTCCAAATAGTAGATTGAGTTAACCCTTTCAGCAGCCTGGGTGACAGGTGATGGAAACACCGTTTTGCATTGTATTATAAGACATTGCTCCAACCCTCTGGCACCCAAGAGGTTAACTCTGTGTCCTCTCCGTTCACTCATTGACAAATACAAATTTAACACAAATCGAAAAATCCGCAGAATTTATAACTGAAAATTAAAACTTTTATTGTAGCACATTGTATCATGTTCTCAGCCTTGAATTTTTTAGGGAGTTTTCCAGAGTTAATTTACTGCCTGGGGCTTCACCAGCTAACCGAATGGCGGCTGCATACACAGTAGCGTTGTTGACCTGCGTTTTTTTTGTACTAAAGAAGAAATCGAGAAATCATCTGAATTTAAAAAAAAATTAAAATAATATGAAATAAAATGAAATATCCTTTAGATTATTTCTCCTTTCTGCGTGTGATGTCATTTATTTTGACAGTTTTTAATTCTTTGCAAATAAATAAATCCTGTACTCCGGTACTGAAAGAGTTAATTCATTTTCCAGTCCTTGGATCAGAATATTAAAGATCTGCCTGTTCACAAACTAGTGGGGAAAAAAAACACATGGATAGAAAAAAAATAATAATAATATAAAACGGGGAAAGGGTTAACGCCCATCCCTCATTATTAAGGTGGTGATTCTGGTTTGGAGAAAAATAGAGTATTAATCATTTCTATGAGTTTAACCCTCCCCTTACCTGTGGCTCTCACTACACCCTGCAACCCTGCCAAACTGACTTTTATCATTTTTATTTTTTTATTACTTTTATCATTTGTTTAATAATATTTTTACAATAATCCCCCCTCCTCCAAACTTACAGCTTGTTCTGGATAAACTTTATCATTTTTATGATTTATTTTGTATTACTTTTATCATTTGTTTAATAATATTTTTACAATAATCCCCCTCCCGCCTTGTTGATACATTTTAAAGTAAAAAATAAATAACATTAAAACAATTTAATTGGTTCCAAGATTACTGCGAAGGACCTAATGTCCCAGATTGCAGAGTGATTTCATGAAGTGCTCAGTATTTACTGATACAATGTATTCCATGGGAAGTCACTTTGTATCCAGCACTGTTTCTCTGTCTGTAGAATGTGGGGTTTATTCATTTTGGGCTCAGCTAATGATAAGAGCAGGTAAGTGCTCTCAGTGTACCAGGTAGGTTAAAGCTGTGCATGCAGTTTATCACATGTGTGCTAATACAGTATATATAATAAGCCTGGGGCAGTGGGCGGGGCTAAAGCTACTGACTATTCAAAGACACAGTATGTGTACAAACACATCCAACATGACAGCCAATCCAAGCTCATCTGCTGAATATTCATGAGAATTCTCCACCAATCAGATCCAGGCAGGGACCTTAACAGGACAGTGGCAGCAGTGAGTGTGACTAGTTGTAAGAAAGTTAGTGGACTACTTAGTATCTCAGCCTGGCTCTCTCCCCCTGATACCCCCTGGTTGCCCCTGGTAAGCAGATCACTTTGCCCCAGGATGAGTGTGGCTTTTGCAAGTCTGCAGTCAGTGGAAGACAAGCAGCTGCCCATAGTCTCAGTAAGTATCATTTTAACTTCTAAAAGTGCTCAAAAGTCCTTTTTAATGCAGATTTTTAATTTATTTTTAAGGGTTTTGGTGGTTGTTTTTTGTCTGTAAATTTTTCTATTTATTTTTAAAAGAAATTTAAACAAATAATTCTAACAATTCGGACTTTGATTTTTCTTTAGATTCATTTTTTAAGTTTATTTAAAGTGTAAAAATGTGACTTTAATATTATTTTATAATTGTCATAGTGTATATTTTTCTTGCATTTCGTTAGATTTTAGTCCTTCACAGATTTATTATAATTTTTTTTTTTTTAAATAATAAAAGTAAAGTTCTGACAGTAGGAAGATGTGTCTGTATGAAAGAAATAGCCTTTCTTACTAGAGCACATGAATTGGTAGATTTAAAGGAACATTAAACACTGGTTCCACTGGCTGATTTTGTGAGTAGAATCCAGGGAAGTAACATACAATGTCTGCTGAGTGGATCTGGAGCTGTTTGTTTGCTATATGTTCTATGAACTTCTCTGAATGTGAAGCTTATAACTTGTTTGACTGGTTTCCTTATGATGCATAGGCTCTTGGTGAGCTAATGTTTGATTACAATTAGACAGCATTAGAAGGGATAGCTTGTTCCCATTGACTCAGACTTGTTTGTCATAGCTGTGAGTACTCTGGGTCCCTTTTTAAATCTGTATTTTCTGGTTTCTCTCCATAGGAAATGGCTCTGGAGGATCTAAGACCACTTAGTGACTTGGGTTACACCATGATTGAGACTTCTTGCATCAAGAAAGAAGAAGATGACCTGGGTAGATTTGTGGACTTAGACTTTATCTTGGCTCATACAACTAGTTCTCAGAATGGGGGGACTCCAACCCAAGGCTCCACTTACCCCTTGCCTGAGACTCCCGAGAGCTGCAGCACCACTTATGACAGTGATGGGTCCTACACTAACCATAAATATGGAGGGGGGACCTTTGCCAGCAGCCCCCACCACAGCTATGTGGCTGAGCTGATGACTCCTGATGTGCCCTGTATGGATTTGCCACCTGAATATGGACTTAAAACTGCCCTGCACAACAGGAAATACACAGAACTGAGGGTAACTAACATGGATGCCCATGTGCACCTCTCTCCAGAACAGCTCCAACATTTGGGGCACAAAATTAAAAAGGAGCGCCCTGAGCAATCTTGTATGATGAGCTCCCCTTCCCCTACCTCTCCCAGCTGCATGGGACCCATGATGGACCAAAAGACTGGCATCATGCATGTTCAGATGCAAGGTCAGAGTTTTGCCCAGCACAGAGTGAGCCCCCCTCTGGTGCCCACCGAGGAGATGAACCTTAGTGACTGCCACATGATGACCGACCTGCACTGTCTGTCTATCATGCCCATGAACCAGCACTACCAGATCACAGCCCAGTACCAACCTCACTTTGCCAACCAGTCCCCCGCCCAGTTCCATGGACAGTTTGGGGTGTACAGGGACCCCATGAAAGTGCACCCAGCCATGCATGGCATGATAGTCACCCCCCCATCCTCGCCCCTGATAGAGTTCTACCCAACCATGAACCCCCCCGATGACTGCAAACCAAAGAGGGGTCGTAGGTCCTGGGCAAGGAAGAGGACTGCCACCCACAACTGCGAGTACCCTGGATGTGGCAAAACCTACACCAAGAGCTCCCACCTCAAGGCGCACATGAGAACCCACACAGGTAGGAATCAGTCTGTTGAAATTGGTGGGGTATGAGGGTTGTGGGCACTGGGGGTATTCATTTTTGGTTGGGTATAGGAACGGGGGGGCTATGAAGTTTTGGGGGTATATGTACTGGGGTGCTGCTGTAAACCACGTAACAATGAACTTTGATTCTAGTTATGTAACTTCCCTCTAAGTGCATGCGGGTTATCACTATTTGAGTCTTAAGCTGCTGAGTCCCAAATAGTTAGTCGAGCTTTGGCTGACTCCTCTATGGTATTTATATGGTTAACCCACTGACTGTCACATTAAATGATCTGTTACTGCAGTAAATGAAACATAAATGTTGCATGTCAGAGCTAAACTTAGGCGTGCCAGAGGCTTGAGTCACTTGTTGCTCATCCCTCTGGACCTGAGAGGGTTAAAACGGATGTCTTATATATCTTCACTTTATTTTATGGGGGGGAGGGCAGAGCTAGTGCTGTGTAGAAAGGGGGTCTTAAACCTTTCATCTTTATAATTAAAAACTTGCAAATGTTAAACAGCACAGTGACAGAATGTAGTGGAAAAAGTGTGTAAATACAAAGAACTATGTGTAATGACAAGAGATTATCCCGTGTTTGTTTAACCCACAAATATAAGGCCTCCAAGCAAAACCAGGGGGATTTTCAGTATTTGCAAAACAACTGTATGAGGCATTGGGTAGAAGGGGTTAGACACGTTTTGCATGTGAGGAGAGGACAGGTGCTTCCATTAATTCTGGACTGTAGAGAGATCTGAGTTTTCATGCTGACAATGCAGTGCAGTTTATTTATTTTGTTTACATTTATAGATCTTTTGTGTCTAAATACTGAAATGTATCTGTTTAACATGCATAGCATTTAATAGAAATCTTTGTTTTATTCCTTGTAGGTGAGAAGCCTTATCATTGTAACTGGGAAGGATGTGGGTGGAAATTTGCCAGATCTGATGAACTTACTCGCCATTTTCGCAAACACACTGGCCACAGGCCTTTCCAGTGCCACCTGTGTGAGAGGGCGTTTTCCAGGTCCGACCACCTGGCCCTACACATGAAGAGACACATGTAGACACGAAGCCAGTGCCGGAGAGCTATGAAGGAGATTTGTACATACACACAGTAATATATATATATATAAAAGACTATTTATAGAAATGGAATATTTTTCTTACAGGGATCTCTGTACATAGCATTGGGTCTGTAAATTTGCTATTTAAAGAAAAGTCAAAACCTAAAAGAAACAAACAAACAAAAAAAACAACAAACAAAATATAATATTTAAAAAGCAGCATTATAATATGTTCAGGGATATTTGATTTCTCTGTATTTGTACAGTATTTGTAAAAAGAGGTTTTGTTTTTGTATGCCTGTTGCGTTTTTGTAAGGTGCATTTTAATGTGCTGGCTAGTCTGGTAGGTTACAGCTGTTTTTATAAATTTACAAGTGCAATTTACTAAGCCATGCGATGATTGTCATATTGCTCAGGTATACAGCTGGCTGAGAAATGGCGACACCTAGTGGATTTTTTTGTGCGCTGCGACTGTATATATATTTTCAAGGAACTCGTTTTGCAAAGTGCACTGTTTTTACCATTTTACAAAACTTTGTAATTTTCTGTTTATATGAATTATCTGACCAGATTTTTCTTTTCCCTTTGAAAGGGATATAATAGGTACTGTTGCAAATGCTTTGTTTAAAAAACATTGTAAAAACCTGTATAATAAAGTTATTTGTGAAAATTTATATTCTACGTCGATTACTTATTTTTTTTTTTTTTTAAAACAAAAATCATATTTCTAATGGCCAAAAAAAGTACAGCTTGTGTGTTTAGAAGTTGAAATCGAGTGTTTATCCTGTGGGTAACACGCTTCTAGAAATTTTAGGCAACTTCCTAATGTACGAGTTATGTAATAAGATCAGTAATTATTGCAAATTATTCTAGGTACAAAAACTAGTTTATAAAACTATTTACTGGAGTTTAATATCAATTAGTAGATTTTATATGAAAAAGCACAAAAGCTCGTCTATAAAAGTAAATGTGTATTGTATCATTCCGTAGAACGCAGGTAATGAGAAAATCAGGTAAAATAACTGGTTAGTTCAGCCAATCAGAACGCAAACTGTATCCAAATCATGTTCAGTGATTAGAAAATCCACAAGTGAGTATAAACAAATAGCTGCTCCAATAACATTTTTGGTTTTCCTATGAAAGCACAAAAATAAATGCTCCCTAAAACATTGGGTCAAAGATTCCGAGGCGCTCCCTCCCAAGGTGAGATCGCGCAAAGTGTTGACTTTGATAACTGGTCAAACCTCATGGCTGCAGATTTTATTTATTTTTACATTTATTTTTTTGCAGGGCTAACACAACCCCACATTGGGAGTCTTTTCAGTAAACCACAATTTCTAATTCCTAGGATAAAATAAAAAATTCTGATAACAAAAAATCTACTCCAGTCCAGCAAAAAATAGTTTCATCTGTACAATGGTTATTTAATAAATTGATCTTGGCCTTAAATCTGAAATTCTCTTTAAATTCTTTGTTTGGTGAATAACTCTGTTTGGTGCTTGGAAATGTATCGTTAACTCACCTGCGCTTACTATTTGGTAAATAGTTCCAGCTATACCACAACGGGAAATTTTGTAAACTTGAAAATTCAAATTCTGGTAAATTTAAAAATATGCGAATTGGCATATAATCCAGGGGCAATGAGATCAGTCAGGAAAGAATTAATGGAATTCAAAGATTTGTGTTTTTTTCTTTTAATGAAATCATCTGTCCAGAATCTACCTTTTAAAAACAAATAAAATCCGTTATACATATTCGGGCTCCTTCTCTGTGAGCCAGATTCAGGTGACTCCAGGCCCCAAATGATGTGACGTTTGGCCAATCCCTTAATATTCTGAGATGACATTGGCCTTTCAAGTGTTGAATGGTCTGCAAATCCAAGGGTATTATTTATGAAGTATAAATGTAAAATAATACCTACCTTTATATCGGGTCCCCATTTGATATTAAATAAATATTCCAAACGCTGGGATTGATTCACTATACCGTGGATTGTGGTGATTTGAAAACCGATTGGGTTGAAGAAAATCTCCAGTCCAGCTCAATGGGAGATTCTCGCCAAGTTTTCTGTCTTAGTCTAAATGTATCGATTTATGGGTTTTGTCTCAGTGAAGTCCATTGCTGATGGGTCACTAAACTTAAATGGACATTCAAACCACCATTAGCTCTGGTTATGGTGATCATACTGTAAAAGCTTTGCTACTTCCCCAACCCTTTGCTTAAATGTTTGGAGCCCATCTTCTAAGGGCACAGGGGGAGTAGTCCAAGGGGGAGATTCCTGTTGGTCTAATAGGGGAGCAAATTAGGGGTTTACTCTCCAAATTCCAAATTGTGCAGAAATCTAATGCGAAGTCAAAACGGGGTCAAAATAGCCAAACCAGATTTTATCTGAGATTGAAAATTGTACCAGATCGGCTAGTTCTGCCTCAGTTGTACTTTTAGGATTTTAATTTGATACACGCTGCAGTTTATTAAATAAATCGTTTAGTGTTACATGTCTGTTTATTATTTCCACTCATTGTTCAATACAGTGAGAATTCAATGTGTATTTCACATTTAAGACCACAGTAGACGAACTGAGAGCATACCTAATTTAGAGATTTTTTTCCAGTTCAGCTAATACAATCTTAAATTTGAAATACCCTTTGAATTCTCACATTGATTAATAATTCTGAAAGTGAGGATAGCACTCAGAGGCCCATCGAGTATAATTATAGGCCCCTCTGTACTAACTAAGCGCAAAATGGGAAACAGAGATTTTTGGCACTGGGACCCATTTCTCCGTTTACCCCCTCAATCCCTACTCAATCACCGGACAAAGCTGGAAGAGGCTCTACCAGACTCCTTTATGATCAGGGACCTGCACTTGTACATCTAGGGCACTCAGTAGATGGCGGATGCACTGACACACAGGCCTGGCGCTATCAATGGTTCCCAGTGAGAAAGATGACCTTAGACAGCACTGGGCCAGAGGATGAACTTAGCACAATAATTCGGGCCTGGGAGCCAAGATTTCAGAAACTACATAACAAACCTGTGTATATACATATAACATTTCAGCCAAGGTTTGGATATTATCCGTGATTAAACAGAAGACAAACTCAAAATAAACATTTGATTTATAGACTCCAAACATGCCTTGGAAATGCACAAATATTGTGCAAAAACAGTAAACATCAATTACAGTTTTAGGCACAAAAGAAAATAGGTTGTTTAGACAGTGAAATATGCTATGTATAAAGACGTCTAAATGGTTTATATAAACAAAGAGATATATAGAAACATTAGTGACATTTCATCGTCTTATTGCGACTTTTAATGTACCATTGACTCTGCTCACACAATCACTGTTATTACATACTTCCCATCGGTTTTAGAATTCAGTTTGCATCGAAATAAATAGTTTGTGTACTGGATGACGTTTGTTTAGGATATTTCCCAGCATTCGTGGAGGAGACATACAGTCAGAGTCTGTAACTACAATCCTGGCGTTCCTCCCTCGTGTTTCTATTCCACCAGAAAACACTCTTCAGAAATCCCAGTGTAAGTGTTTGATTGCACATGGGGGGCCATTGATGGCGATTTTACAGCAGCATTTTGCACATGGACATTAACCCCTTAGGTTTTACAGGTCGGTAGTCAACATTGACCATCTGTGACCACACTCCCACCATCATGTTTTCCAACATTCTAACTTTGCAAAGAATTCCATAGCAGGAAAAGACGTCAACCAAAAATATACAGACATATCTTCACCTCCACACACCTCCTAAAACAAACATGGCCCACTTTGGTTACATGAAATGGCAGACATGAAACAATATGTCTTCTTGGACCATAGGTGCCTATCTCCCAACATTTCTAATGGACAAACAGGGACACTTTAGATTTAGGGGTGTGAGTGGGGGGGGTGTCCAGGGGCTGGAAACATTGTTCTGAGAAATGTTTGGTGACTTATTGATAGTTTGTGCAACAAAAATGTAATTTATAACAAGAACTATGTATCTTATTTACACAGACTGGTTTCTAAATGCTTTTATTGCAGTTTAAAGACACATTACTGGGAGTATTATTGCTGCAGAGCTCTGTAATACACTCAGACACATTACTGGGAGTATTATTACTGTGGAGCTCTGTTATACACTCAGACACATTACTGGGAGTATTATTGCTGTGGGGCTCTGGTATACACTCAGACACATTACTGGGAGTATTATTGCTGTGGGGCTCTGGTATACACTCAGACACATTACTGGGAGTATTATTGCTGTGGAGCTCTGTTATACACTCAGACACATTACTGGGAGTATTATTGCTGTGGAGCTCTGGTATACACTCAGACACATTACTGGGAGTATTATTGCTGTGGAGCTCTGTTATACACTCAGACACATTACTGGGGTGGCCTGTGGGGCTCTATTACACACTCAGACACATTACTGGGAATGTGTGCTGCTTGGGGCTCCTGTTATACACTCAGACCGCATTACTGGAATTATTGTTGCTGTGGAGCTCTGTGTTATACCTCCAGACACATTGCAAATTATGTACTGTGGGCTCTAGTACACACTCAGACACATTACTGGAATATTATTATTGCTGTGGGGCTCTATTTATACACTCAGACACATTACTGGGAGTATTGCTGTGGACTCTGTTATACCTCAGACACATTGCACTGGGAGTGGTATTACTGTGGGGGCTCTATTACACACTCCAGACACATTACTGGGAGGAGTATTATTACTGTGGAGCTCTGTATACACTCAGACACATTGCACAAGTCATTGTGGTTTAATCATCTAGTGTGGTATGTGAAATTTGACAATAATGCTGTAACATAAGGGGACTCCATTTAAGGGAAGGAGTGATAGAAAGCTATGCTAGCTTGACAAAGATATGACAATGTTACATAGAACTATCACTTGTAAAAAACATTTTTTTTAAAAACCTACATGCACTGTGTTTATATATTTTTCTAATTTGACATTTTTTGTTGTATTTCAAAACACAGGGTTGGGGGGGATACAGAAAGGAAGAGGGGGTGAGGAGAAGGCATATCACAACATCTTTACATTCTCAGAGTAGTATATTTCAGATTGCACACAGTGTTTATTTACACAAACATTCAGGGATTGCAGTCAGGCGATACCAGAACATAGAACATATAGGAGCAGTTACAGGTCGTACTACACCTCAACTTATATCGGTGACGGTGTGACCACTATTGTGATGGCTTTAAATGGAGGAGGCTCCAAACTCAGCTGTACGTCATGAGGTTTGGGGGGAGGGCGGGTTGTGACCTTGCATGGTGTAATATAAAAAAGTGCCTCCCCATAAAGGTGTCGAGGTAAAATGCTGGTGAGTATCTGGTAGCAGAGTACAGTATGACAGGGTGTGTGGTCTCGGGGCATGGCGCATCACAACTGTTATTTGGCAGCAGAGAGTAACACAGTTAAGTATGAGTTAACAAGGTATAACTAGACAAGTATGGTTGTACAATCGAGTTAGGGCACCGATCTCCACCTGCTCTACAGCTCCCAGGACTCTATAGACACCCTGTTAGGGGGAAAGACATTTTTAAAAGTGAGTTTGTAAACGTGTTGTTGGTCAATTTCATTGAGAATGTTGTGGACGTTGGGGGGTTAGGGGGATTTCCATGCTCTTGCTATGG